TTGGTATCGTGACAACACTAATTGTAATGCACCTTAGTACATGCAGTAAAGGGCACCATCACAAAGCAATACTTAACAATAACAACAACCGTAATGCTTCAGCATTAAAACACCATATACTGTAAATATAAGGCAAACACAGACACTATTTATTTTATTTATTTATATATTTATTTGACAGTGACAGTGCACATTGATTGACATTTCTGTAAATGCGCCAGAGTTAGCCAACAGGCTATTTTTCGTCTGTAGTCCCTGGACAGATGTTGAAAGTCATCCTAAAAACAAAAATTCACTTCAAATAACAGGTAAATACAATCGGAGGTCACAATATCAATCGATCCAGCAGAGCAATAGCCTATTGGCAAAACACAGAAGATCAACAAAAGATATGACATAAAACAAACTTACCAAAGCTGAAGTAGATGGTCAACTTCATTCATTTTCTTTCCGTTTCACTGATTTTAATCGCTATAAGCTGCTCTCTCTCGTCTCCTCTTCACAACTACACTTTTCGCGGCACACATACTTACAGCCAATCAGCTCTGAATTATGAGATGACGTTTTGGTGGGGTTGCCAGCACTTTGCCCCACTTGTGATTTTTTTTATGCCGCACACATTGAATACAAAAAGACTCTGAGCATGCACAGTGTCGTTTTCACAGTACACGTTCACTTGGACAGAAGAGAGAGGGGCTAGATCGGGGCTTGCTCTACACGGCTCAATAGACCAGGGTTCGTACGGTCATTGAAAACCTGGAAAAGTCATGGAAATTCAAAATGCAAATTCCAGGCCCTGGAAAAGTTATGGAAAACAATATTTTTCCCAAAGTTTTGGAAAAGTAACTAAAGTTGCGTCAAATATAATTTACATTTTATCTAATCGCCGAAATAATCTGCGGTCGCGAGCTGTTATGTGCCATCATGACGTGCATGGTCTTATTTTTTTTTATATATGAAGCACGAGCTGTGTGCTCGAGTCTTCTTGCCTGTCGGGCCGGCTGAACTCTGCTGCTCCGGGATGAGGGTCAGCTACATTATCTACGGTGCGTTCGTTAACTGTGCGGAGTCACTGTGGCACAGACTGTGAACAGCTGTTAGAACGGGCCGTTCAGGTGTTCAGAGCAGAGCGGCAGAGCGTGATGTGAACTGAAACATTTTTCTGTCGCAATATCATTGTCACTATCTGCTAACGTTAGCTTTAGCCTTCGTTTTCTAATAGTTTTTTTCATAGGCTATAAACAGAGGTGGTATAAGTATAGATATTGTACTAGAGTAAAAGTAGAAGTACTCAGATATTGTACTTAATACAAGTAGAAGTACTCAGATCTTGTACTTAATAAAAGTAGAAGTACTCAGATCTTGTACTTAATAAAAGTAGAAGTACTCAGATCTTGTACTTGAGTAAAAGTAAAAGTACTCAGATCTTGTACTTTAGTAGAAGTACTCAGATCTTGTACTTAATAAAAGTAGAAGTACTCAGATCTTGTACTTGAGTAAAAGTAGAAGTACTCAGATCTTGTACTTAATAAAAGTAGAAGTACTCAGATCTTGTACTTGAGTAAAAGTAGAAGTACTCAGATCTTGTACTTAATAAAAGTAGAAGTACTCAGGTCTTGTACTTGAGTAAAAGTAGAAGTACTCAGATCTTGTACTTAATAAAAGTAGAAGTACTCAGATCTTGTACTTGAGTAAAAGTAGAAGTACCAGAGGAATACTCTATCACAGTAAAAGTCCTGTATTCAAAATGTTCCTCAAGTAAAAGTAGAAAAGTATTATCATCAAAATATAGTGAAAGTAGCGACAGTAAAAGTAGTCATTGTGCAGATTGGTCCATTTCAGAATAATATATATGATGTGTTTTATAATGATTGATCATTAAAGTGTTCTCAAAGCTGGTAAAGGTGCAGCTAGTTTGAATGACTTTGTATACTGCAGGGTAGCTTGTGGATTTACTCCAGGTGGAACTAAAGTCTGATTTAACACTTGATTATATTTCACATCATTCATCCAGATCTGTAAAGTAACTAAAGGTATTAAATACATGTAGTGGAGTAGAAGTACACCATGTACCTCTGAACTGTAGAGGAGTAGAAGTACAAAGTAGCAAAACATTGAAATACTTAAATAAAGTACAAGTATCTCAAAATTGTACCCAAGTATAGTACTTGAGTTTATGAACTTAGTTACTTCACACCAGTGGCTATACAGATAGAAAGACTAAGCCTTGCACAGAGGCATGAAAATACATTTTCAAAATGCTCAACAGTGCTGCCAAAATTATAAACTGACTGCTACACAATTCAAATAAATGCTTTTATATATTTCTATTAGATGTGACACTTTGGCGTTTCTGTTATTATTACCTGCTGCTTTAGTTGTTCTGACTGCTAAAATCCTCTGTTATTCCTCATTTTAAAGCCGATATTCCGTGGGGTCGGGGGCTCGGGTCCTTGTCAACTTTTTCATACCTGATGAGTTTGCATCCCTGACTACAGTTGCTTCAGCCTGTAGAAGCTAGTAAGCCTACTATTTGATTTGTTTTAGATAAGCACATGTTTCATATGCAGACCTTATTTTCCTGTTCCATGTTAAAATAAACCATTTTCAGTGGTCTTTTTTTTTTGGTCATGGAAAATTAGGTAAAGGTCATGGAAAAGTCATTGAAAAGCATTGGTGAAAAAGTGTATGAACCCTGATAGACACACTGTAGACACTAATCAGAAGAACGCAGACTAAAACAGCAATGTAGAGACGAATCAGACGACTAAACATGATCTTAAAATATATTTTAACATATATTTTATACATATTTTTGAATTATTATTTGAATTCATTTCTGCTGACTGTAGGTGGGGCTGTGTACCTACCTACTGCAGCCTACCTGCCCCTAATGACGAGTCACCACTGGAAATAAGATGTATGTGTACATTAAGTTCCCTTTTAAAAAAATCAATACATAGAAAAAAGATAGGTAATTTACCACAGTAAAGTTAAAGGTGGGGTATGTCATTTATTTCAGAAACACTTTTTGTTATATTGCATGGAATGCACTTAACATCCCGATAGCAATGAATATATTAAATGCTTTGACAATAAATACATACAAAAATGTCATCTGTGGAAGCCGTAGCGCTGTAAAAAGCAAGACCAATCATCTGAGCCGGCCCGGCTAAAGTAACTGGATGGCCTACCTGCCTGTCAGCCTTCCATCTGGGCACAAACTTATCTCGTGCCCTCATTGGTCATGTGCGCGTTCGTGTGTGTTGGAGGAGGGGCTTTGTAAAGAAGTGGCACATTTTTTCCGGCTGTGTATTTTCAAATTCTAGCGCACTCGAGCTGGTTTCTCCAAAATTACCTACCCCACCTTTTAATATGTAGAAAATAAAACAAACTATTAAGTTTTCCATTAAACATGTACATTTGTTCCCTTGAATGAAAAATAAATCAACACATGAAATGAGATGAGTGATTAGTTGACTATGACAGGCAGTGGCGATTCTAGACCAATTTGACTGGGGTGGGGCCAGTTATTTTCTGAGAGGGGCACAATAAATGCAGGACAAAAAAGACAAAGACAGTATTAAGTAGGGATGTAACGGTACACGTACCCATACCGAAATTATTCGGTACGGGCCCTTCGGTTCGGTACACGTGTGTACCGAACGAATATAACGTTAAACGTAACAAATTGAGAACGTGAACAACTTTTTGGAAGTAATCTCAGGTGCTGCGTCGCAGCATTCAGTGTAATTTGCTCACATTGGGTTCAACGCGTCATAGAGCGACCAAGTCATTTCATTGGACGAGAGGCATACTAGAGAGCTGGTCACAGGGATGCGTTCAAATGTAGTTAGTAATTTGAGGAAATGGCGAACGCAGATAAAGTTGAGCTGAAAATCCTCCAGCATCATTGAAGTCTCCGGTTTGGGAACATTTTGGTTTCGCAGTTACGTACAAGGATGACGGACAAAGACAGGTGGACCGAACTAAAGCTGTTTGTCGGCATTGTTCAACTAAAATTGGTTATGCGGCTGGCAATACATCAAACTTGCACACTCATTTGAAAAGGCATCACCCGAATGTGAATATCACCGGTACCAAAAGAAAAAGGACTGAAGTGCAAACCCAAGCCTCCGCCACTCGCAAAAAGTTTAGACTGAGCCAAAGCTATTACAAATGACAAATATCCTTATGTTGCCATGTTAGCAAAGCGCTACCTGGCTGTATCTGCTACCTCTGTCCCTAGAGAGGGTGTTCTCCACAGCAGGAGAAATTGTTAGTGTTAGCAGATCTGCCCTTTCGGCAAGCAATGTGGACAAGTAAATTTTTCTTAAAAAAAACATGAAAATACAATGACAAGCAAGTCATAATGTCAAACTGGCTGCTTAGGAACTAGTACAGTACAGTTCAAATTCAGATTATTTCAGTTCATCGAAATGCTGCACCTTAATGTTTATTTTATTATATTTTGTATTTATTTGAGTGAATATTCACAGTTTAATAATAATTAAAAACCCAAAACTAAGTTTGTTTCGTGAGTACTAGTACAGTAAAGTTCAAATACAGATTATTTCAGTTCATCGAAATACTGCATCTTAATGTTTATTTTATTATATTTTGTATTTATTTGAGTGAATACATTATTCACAGTTTAATAATAATAAAAAAATATATATTTTATGTTTTGTGATAATTTTTTCTGCTGTACCGAAAACGTACCGAACCGAACCGTGACCTAAAAACCGAGGTACGTACCGAACCGAAATGTTTGTGAACCGTTACACCCCTAGTATTAAGTAATTGCGCATAAGAAAACAATGAAATACAGTTATTGGTATTTGTTTCAGATACTTATAGTTACAGTTTTTACGCTCTAATGGGTCCGACTAGAATCGCATTAGTTCCACCTATTCCGTCAGCCAGGAAAGGTTTTTTTTCTTTTTCTTCATTTTCTTCATTTTCAGCCGGGCCACAAGGGGGTCCAAAGTCAGTGTTAGGGGGGCACTGGCACCCCCTGCCCACCCCCTAGAACCGCCCCTGACTACAGGCAATATGATCAGAGGTGCAGAGTTTTTGCTGTGAAAACAACCAGGACTGAAGTATGGGTAGAGGTTCTCAGTGAAGGAGCAGCCAGTGAAGGAGTAGATCAGAGCTGGAGCATCTACGTCATAAAAAGAGACCAGACTCTCCTCATAATCCACAAACACCCCCACCTTCTGAGGCTGAGACGTCAGAGAGAGAGTAACTGGAGGATTATCATGAGCTTTGTACTCATTTCCATTTCTCCATATAGACCAGTTACCCCACAGAGGGCTCAGTCGGTTTTGTCCCTTCCTGTTGATCGACTCTTTGACCACTCCTAAAATCCAGTTAGTCTTCCCTTCAACTTGAACCTCGTAGTAAAATTGTCCTGAACAGAAACTCTGCTTTGCTAGGACGCAAACACAATCAGAAAATCTTTCTGGATTGTCTGGGAGATCCTGCTTTGCCTCAATAGGACGTGCATGTTTTTCATCAGGAAAAAGGACGATGTCAGGATTTGCTGTGTCGGGATCAAAAGTCACCTCCACTGCGTACCTCTGGACCCTCTTCAGCTCCGCCTCCTGCTGCGTCAGCTCCGCCTCCTGCTGCTTCTTCATTACTAAACTTATTGAGTCTTTCAACTCAGCCACAGCTCTCCTCACACTGCCCTCATATGATGGATGAAAGCTGATATTTGTCCAGTTCTTGGTGGGTGGTCGGTGTTGGATTTTTAGGGACTGGACACCTTGGAGAAAATGAAGGTGATCATCACAGTGTGAAAGACGCTCTATCTCAGCGCTTCTCTTTTTCAGCTTAGAGATTTCTTGCTCTAGGTCTTTGATAAAAGTCTTGGCCTGTTTTTCTGTTGTTTTCTGCTTCATTCTAACCGTGTCGATAAGTTGGTTCAGTCCTCTCTCAACAGACTCCCTCAGAGCAGTTAAGACTTGAACACCTTCTGTTATCTCTCTGTCTGCATCTTTTTCACTCAAGTCAACTGATTCTTTGAACTCCTTGATCTTCTTTCTTCTTGTCTGGATCATCTGCTGAGATTCAGCATCTGCCTTCACCATCGCTGCCTTCTTTTCATCATATCCTTCTTTCAGAGGAACCACATCATGCATCTTGTGGTCTGAAACATGGCAGAGAATGCAGACACATGTCTGGTCGGTCTTACAGAACAGCTCCAGAGGTTTATCGTGCTTCGGACACATCCTGTCTTCCAGCTTCTCCACAGAGTCGATCAACTGATGTCTTTTCAGGCCTGAGGCTGTCAGGTGAGGCTCCAGGTGAGTCTCACAGTATGAGGTCCGACACACCAGGCAGGACTTCAGGGCCTTCAGTTTGGTTTCAGTGCAGACGTCACAGGGAACTTCCCCTGGTTTGAAGACTTGTTGCTCTGAGCTGCTGCTGCTTCTAGCTTCCTGTTCAGCTTCCTGTTTAGCTTCCTCTATGAACTTAGCAACCGTTTCAGAAAGTAAAGTGTTGACTCTCAAACCAGGTCTTATGGTAAACGCCTCCATACACATGGGACACTGGCAATTGTCACCTATATCCCAGTGTTCAGTGATGCAGTTCTTGCAGAAGTTGTGTCCACATGGTATAGTGACTGGAACAGTGAACAAATCCAGACAGACGGAGCAGAGAAACTGATCTTCTGATAGAAGACAGCTAGCCATATCTGCACATTGAAAACAAAAGTAGACATAGATGTGTTATATACAGACATATTGCGAATGTAATGCACACATAGGAATTTTTTTACCACTTAAAATAAAATGTAAAAAAACAGAAAACTATATTTAAAGAGGATTGGTGACGCTTTCCAGATACCTGAATAGATGAATAAGTTTAGTATTGAATCCAGTGTATTGAATCAGGGCATCCCCAACATCAGGGTATCATTCTTTGGGTCTGACTAACACTGGTATAGTTAATTTTTTTTTTAAAAACTAGAAATTAACCGGCTGCTCAATTGTTAGCTGTTGCTTTGAACATTGCAATTTGAATGCCCTCCATGTTGACTCTTAAGTTCGTTATGTAAGTTAGTGTGCATTGTGATTCAAATTAGGGCTGCACGATATATCGTGTCGTGACGATAATCGCGATATGCGCGATAGCCACATCGCAGGACGTGCAATTTTTTCCTTTTATTTTTTAGGACGTGTGATATTAAGAAGGCAAATTAACTCAAACACGTCATGTTACAATTCTTTTGCTGCTTGCTACAAAAGGAAAACTCGTGCTGCTCTCATGTCAGGGGTACTTGAGTGAGTGACAAGCAGGCTCTGCATGCACAGCAAACCACCAATCACAATCAAATCTCCAAAGCAAACGGACCTGGTGATTAAAGGTAAAAACACTGAATAAAGTAGTTTCATGTGTTTCTCCATGGCAGTTCGGCGCTGCTAACCGAGCTAGCTCAGCTTGTTGCTCTGATAACTTAAGATCCAGACGTCCGTGACTAAAATCCTTGATCCGGTTAAATATAGTTAGAAAAATACCAATTGTATAGCATTCAATTTCAAGAAAGGATGGTTTGCGGACAAAAAAAAAAACTGTCTTTTCTTCCATTCCTGTATTTTTTCATATCGCAATATATATCGCAGGGGGGAAAAAAACAGTTTTTTCCAATATCGTGCAGCCCTAATTCAAATCAAATGATAGTATATGTAGTTAAAATGTTATACTTTTGATTACATGCAGCAACATTTGCACAAAAGGTGTAGCAAGATTGTCTTCAAACAAAAAAAATACAGTTATAGTTAAATATTGACAGCTCTACTCAGCCTTGCAGCAGAGACCCTGATGTGAAAAGTACAATGGGAGCCAGAGCCTTTTCTTATCAAGCTCCACATTTGTGGAATAAGCTTCCAGTTTGTGTTCGGGCGGCAGACACCCTATCCGTTTTTAAGAGTGCGCTTAAGACCTTCCTTTTTGATAAAGCTTATAGTTAGGGCTGATTAGATCCAGCCCCTAGTTTTGCTGATATAGGCTTAGTTTGTCGGGGGACATCTTACTTCTTCCTTCTCTCTGTCTATACTTGTGTACTCTCATGTTCCGATTAACCCAGCTTCCCCAAATGTCTTTCTTTTTGGTGTCTGTATACGCCGGGATCCGGAGTCATGGATGATCCTGCGCTCCTCTGTCCTGGATCTTGAGTCGTGGCTGTGGTCCTGGATCATAGGTCCTGGATGGATATCCTCGTGGATTCATCTTCCTATTATACACACATGCATTTCCAAACATTTGGACTACCTATGTTGCAAATGTATTATCTTTTCAATTTACACACGGCATCTATTGCACGTCTGTCCGTCCTGGGAGAGGGATCCCTCCTCTGTTGCTCTCCCTGAGGTTTCTCCCATTTTTCACTTTAAACTGTGGGTTTTCTTTGGAAGTTTTTCCTTGTACGATGTGAGGGTCTAAGGACAGAGGGTCTAAGGACAGAGGGTCTAAGGACAGAGGGTGTCGTATTGTCATACTGATATTTTGTACAAACTGTAAAGTCCACTGAGACAAATGTAACATTTGTGATATTGGGCTATATAAATAAACATTGATTGATTGATTGATTGATTGATGTGTAGTTGAGTAAGAGCTGACGACTATATGAGTTTAATATTTATTTATAGAGAAACAGAATTGTCTCCAGTGTCGAAACACTACTGCAAAACTTGCAGACCTTAAGTTTGATTTAAGGATTATCAGTGTAGCATAATGCCTAGCATTATGTGAGCGTGGAGCGCGTGGAATGTTTTAGTGTGTGCACGTTAGGGCTGTGCATCTTCACTGGTCTCACGATTCGATTACGATTATCCTGTCAACGATTCGATTCAATTCGATATCCCGATGCATCACGATGCATCACGATTCATACCAATGCGTTGCATCCTCAATGTTCTATATTACTGCACATGGCTTATTTTTCATCAATGCATACATGTAGTAAATACATATGAACTCTCTTTTTATTATTTAGAAAGTGCTTCAGAAATCAATAACATAAATGTCTTGACATTAATTTATAAACCAAAATAAATGAATTGTATAGGTCTAGCCTCCCTATATCTGTGTGAAATTGTTCCATCCTCAAAAACAAAAAAATAATGCTTCTGCAGTCTAGCTGCAGCTTCTAGCATTGGCCTTCTGTTAAAAAAAGGACACTGAATGTCCTGAATGTGGCATCACACACAGGACTTGAGTCTGAACACAGCAGACAACAGGAGTATTTACAACAGCATATAACAACTAAAATACTGCATGTGGGTGCACACTTACATTCTCTGTCTTACTGTTGCATAAATCCCATGAATGTATGAGATTAAGTTAGCTTCATTATATCTCAGTGATTAAGTGAATAATAAAGTTTCTATCGGGTCACTATCAGCCTGTCACTCATTATTTTCAGGGAGGGGGCGGGGCTTAGAGGAACAGAGGAGACGGTGATCGCGGAAGCTTTTTTCCTCCTGCCTTCACAAACTTTACACACGTATATATCGTCTGAAAATTGCTAGAGGACATTCATACTCTGCAATCCAAGACTTAATTAAATCCACCAAAAACCTGACATGATTCTAACGCGATTATTTTTGAAAAACATAAATCCCTGTGTCTCTGAGCCGCAGCGTCACGGAGTGATTCAGAGCGGGTCCTTCTGCTGTTGGTTCTGGACTGGTGTTCTTGTGTTGGTGGATAAAGCAGACTGCTCCGTGTTTGGTGTTTCTGTGCCGCTGTCTCGTCTGTTCCCTGATCTCTGAGTCACCGACCGATTTGATATTAAAGTGACAGAAAAAAAAACGTTATAGTAAAGCCGCGGCCGGAAAATCAGGAAGCAACGTTACTACGCTATGATCGATTATCTTCCGTCACTGCATCGATACCGAATCGTCCACGTCCGCATCGCAATGCATCGTAGAAACGATTATTTTCAACACCCCTACAAGTGCGCCCTGCCAATTTGTTTCTATGTGTCTGCCAGCACAAGAAAGGCTCTTGAGGCCTAGTACCAGTTGGTTATTCTAGCCAATTTGCTGCCCTAGGCGAGTAATGTAAATGTATTCTGTAATGTATGAACATGTTTTAATTGGGGGGTGGACGTCACATCCTCTCGGGCAGTGGTTCTCAAACTTTTTTCAATAATGTACCCCCTTTGAAAAAAATATTCCGCCAAGTACCCCCTGATCAGCGCAAAAACAATTTGTTAGGGACAAAATGCCTATATAAAGAGGTACAGTACAGCGCTGCACCATCAGTGTCTGATTTATTAAAACAACAACATTGTAACTGAGAAAAAACGTAAGCTACATTTCAAATGTTTACAATCCATCACTAAATTCATGGCAAACCAATTTTAACATCATGCAATAACACTAAGACAACATTAGTTGCATTGAACTGATCTTTTTAATAAGTTGTACTTACAATGTAGTGAAACATGGGCTTTTGCTTCACTGAGGATCTTTGTCATTCTCTGTGACAGCGAGGCAAACTGCAGTTATTATACTTCGCGTTTTGAAAAATGTGTAACTCTGTTCATATAATACCCACACTGCTCTAACTTCGATACTTTTCCTAAAATTGGTATATTTATTTATTTTCGGGCGTGGGGAATGAAGAGAAACAAATATGAGCATTTTATGAGCATGGGATTTTTACCCCTCATATAAACACATGCATAATGCTGCGCTATACTTTGCGGCCACACGCCGTTGCCAAGCAACGCTTATTGTTTAGGTTCTTCGATAAGCAGGCGGTCATATCATTAGCTAGAACTAGCTAGATCTGATAGATTTGGACAAAAACGCGAGTGAAGTATAACCGGACGCGAGAGAGAGATCAGAGATCAGAGATCAGATCAGCTGCTGCTGACGGAGAACACGCAGCTCTGCATGATCACAGCTCCGCCGCTGTGACGGACCGGTGAGCGGACCAAAATACACTAAGAGTTAGACCTAACACTGGTAAATCTGGTAAATCTACTCTTGAACTAGCTAAACTAGTTATAAATATATGTATTCTTTACTGTCGGGTCACTTATATTACAGGTTCAGCGAGTTGCACGAGTCTGATGGGCTGTCAGGAGAGGGAGAGGAAAAGAGATCGCCCTGTTTATTTTTCCCATTTTATTATCCAGAGTTACTGTATACCTTTGAATAAAGTAGTTCATCTACTATTAGAAGTTTGTTTAAATGCATTAATTATGTTTTTTCATTAACATAAAATAAATCTCACGTACCCCCTGCAGTACTCCAACATACCCCTAGGGGTCCGCGTACCCCCATTTGAGAACCACTGCTCTAGGGCAGTGTTTCTCAAACTTTTTCATACCAAGGACCACTTAACCAATAAAAAAACACTCGCGGACCACCTAAATCCACAAATATCAAAAACCACATCGTTTTTCTAGAACAGATTACAAATCGCCTGAAAATGGTACAAACAAGTGGCAACATGTGTGATGAAGGTGTTGCGCTGGGCTATATCATGCAATCGAAAGTGAAACTTAACCTTGCTCCATTGCGGAGATATTCCCGCGAGAGTGCGGAAAACTCAAATTGATTAATTCATTTCAAATGTGAAGTGTTACCAATATACTCACGGACCACTAGGGGGCGCTCACGGGCCACCAGTGGTCCGCGGACCACACTTTGAGAAGCACTGCTCTAGGGGGTCCGGGGGTATGCCCCCCCGGGAAGATTTTTTTGAACATTTGAAAGTAAAATGCTTCAATCTGGTGCACTTTGAGCACACAATTACTAGAGACCTGATCTAGGAGGTACAACTCTAAAACACCCATATGAAAAAGACAAAGACAAATACTACAAATCCACATAACAAACAATCAAAAACGAAAAAGGGTCGCCACTTATTATATTAATAAAAAAATAAAAAGTAGCCGTCGCTATTTGTATATAGGGGAAACACTGGGATTATGATATGTTGCTGTCTGAACTGAGCTACCGTCTCAGAGATTAAAGTGTTAACGTGCAGCTCAGGTCTTGTGTACAACTCGTTTTTACATATGGGACACTGGCACCTGTCACTTGTATCCCAGTGGTCAGTGATGCATTATTTACAGAAGTTGTGTCCACATGGTATAGCGACTGGATCAGTGAATACATCCAGACAGATGGAGCAGAGGAACTGATGTTTTGTCGATTTTTTTTAATAATAGCAGGAAAGCACAATTGAATCAAAACTCCTACCACAGAGATTCAGTTTCAAGTTGGGGAAGTTTTGGCGCAGTGGTTAGAGCGTTGGTCATCAGATCAAAGGGGGAACTCCAGTTTGAATCCCGCCTCGGCCGCCACTGCGTCAGGCCGTTGTGTCCTTGGGCAAGACACTCCTGTGGGTAATGTCTGCAGTAATGACTCTTACATGTCTAATATGTGTAATGTGTAATTGTAAAGCGCTTTGAGTACCTGGAAAAGCGCTCTAATAAAAAAATATAATGCATTATTATTATTATTATTATTTACTAAAGTACTAAGAGTTGATACAAAGAGACTGTTTAAAGTGTCATATATATGGTTTTGTTGATAGAGAAAAACAAGTGGTGCAGCTTTCATCTGAGTAGAGCTGTTATGTGTTAGTCCTGATGGTGAAAGTGTAAATATAATCAGATGTACTCACCAGTGTTTGACAGAGACTCTGCTGTGTTGTTGAGAAAGATCTGATGAACTCAGTTTGTATTTTCTTTAGACAGAAACAGAGACTAGTCTCGACTGCAGTGTGGCTGCCTCTCTGACTAACTTAACTTTCGTTTCCTGTGGCGTGCCGCGTGTAAGCTCTCCTCTTTCCACTGTAGCTCCTCCTCTCACTGCAGCTGGTGTTTCCCTCCCTCTGATCTGCATGGGCATTGAGAAATAACAGGTTATCTCTGATAGTTAGGGAGCAAAGCTGGTGCTTTACAGATGTGTCAAGCTGTTTCTAATCTTTATTATGATGAACGTTTTCAGTTACATTTAATGGAAACACATGTCAGTAAAATGTCATGGATGATATAATCTACATAGTTAAAGACTTATTTCCATTGTAGAACTTGAACTTGAACTATACTGGTTTCCCGTCTCCCCCCGCATCAACTACAAAAGACTGGTCCTTACTTACAAAGCCCTCCACCATCTGCCCCCCCCCCCTACCTCACTGACCTCCTCACCCCCTGTGAAGTAAAAACTTCTTTGCAGCAATGTTGAGCGCATCATCAAATGAGGGAAACTGGATTCACCTGTCAATACACTGATATTTATTGAGAGACAGACAATTACATACGGCCGGGAGATCATCCTAGTTTCACACTGTCCTTGTGCTCCACCAAGGTAATCTCTGCCCCAAAAGACACAAAACATCTAACCAACACGAGGAGATACCTAATTACCTAATACCTAATTAGTAGCAGATGTGAGACAATAGTCTACTTGTCTCAAAGAGATCCAGACAAGCCTCAACCTACACAGGAGTCTTTGACTGACTACAAGCAGATATTTGCAGTATCACAGATTCTATAAAACAATAAGAACTCTATAAACAGATCAGATGAAAATATTCTCTTACACCCCCCACCAACCCCAACGGTCCCTCAGATCGACCTCAGCCGGTCTCCTATCATCCCTAAACCCAAACTCTGCAGCTTCGGGGACATGTTTTATTAGTAATGTAGACAACGTACCTTCATCAAATGTACAACAAGTACAATATGTATCTACTCTAAAACAGAAATCTATACACAATAAAATAAACTAAAGGCTTTTAGACATTGAGTATGTAACATTAGTGATCATGATAACAAGGAAGAAGAGTGTTTTCTCTCAGGCAGCATCCCTCATGGATCATTATGGCATTTTGTTGCCTGAATTGAAGCAATCATATTATCCTGTTCTCACTTGTTCCTCGTGAGATATTGGGTCTCGATTGATGAGGTTGTTGCCTAATGCTGAAACATAACGTAATGTTAAGTGTCCTCAATGCTCTGTATACAAAAAAGAGAAAAGTGATCTCCCAGTGATGGAACCTCTTAAATCAAGGTTACTTTACATTTTAAAGGAGCAGTTCAAGCCATGAACAAAATGAAAATCTTGCTGTTTTACAGGAAGTTGTTAAATCCATTTCTTGGTTTTTAATTTGTATTTCTTTGTGTCTGTCGCAGGAAGGAGAAAGCAGCAGGTCGCCACAGAGAGGGCGGGCATGGCAAAGGTGAGCACAAACAGTCCTTATCGGCTTCCTTTTATCTCCTGTCAATCATTTACAGTGTGCGTCATAGTAAGAGGAAAATGATTAAGTTGCAAAATATATACAAATATTTCTTAGTTTCTCAAATATATAAAACATTTTACCTGAGGAAATCTCTGTGCAAACATCTCTGTATCTTATTTACTATATTGTTGTTGTTGTTGTTTTTCTCTTTCCCTTTGAAACCCATACATTCAAGAATTCCATTAAAATACAATCCATAATTCAGATTATGTGACAACATTAATTATTATTGTTATTATTAGTAGTAGTGTTATTAGTATTAGTATGATAAAAGTGATTTTTAATAAAATATTATTTCTATTATTATTTTTATTTTAATACACATATTATTTAATTATTATTCTAATAATAATAATATTTTAGTAGAATTGGAAAGCACTATTTTTAGGTTTTATTTTAAAAGCTTTACTTCCTGTATTAGTCTATAGGCCATAAGGTGAACCCTGTTATCATTTCAACCCGCTCCACAGAAGTGAAACTACACAATCTTTAGTTCATAAAAAAGAACGAGTCATGCTTATCCACCAAAAAAAATATCGTCGCTAAAATTCCTGCCAATTCTTCTAGGCACGTAATTATTGGCTGAACTAGTCCCTTCGAAGCGTAATAATATCTTGGTCCAAAGTCGTGCCACGGTTCGTCACGTGATCGTGCTACACCAATTGGGTAGCTGCATATTGTCAACAGAAGTGAAAGATGGCGGCCGCCATGGTTACGCTAAACCAGACCAAATGGATTCTAAACAGTGCTGTATGCTTGTTTTATGTCATGTTTTGTCATATGTCTTAATACATCACTAAGTCCGAGGTATTTGCGTTATATACGCGGTATTTGTGAGAGGTTTTACTCTCTGGGAACAGAGTTGACCATCGAATCAACATTGACTAGCAGCGTTTATCAGCCAACTCCAGCTACAAACAATTTCCCCACGGGGATTAATAAAGTATATCAAACTCATATTTATCAAACTATCATTCCTGGACTGCCATGTTCACATCGCTAGGTTCATTGGGATTATTCCATTAGACTGAGGACTTTTTGTCTGTCTGTTGTTACCCTGTACACGTTAAATGCACTCTTAAAATAAACATGACTTGATTTCTGCGTCCAAGAAGAAGGTTAACTTGTTACGTTAAGTAATTTAGATCAATAAAATGCAATACTTCCAGGCTGAAGACTTTTCTTTTTGTTGCTGCTTTTAATTGAACTATACATATCTTAGACTGCACTGTAACTTTTATCCATGTATTTTTTCTTTTAATGTTTATTTTATTAGCTTTTCTTTTGAATGACTGATTTTAAATGCCATTTTCTTAATGTCTTTAATTTTTTGTAAAACACTTTGAATTGCCTTGTGTTGAAAAGTGCTATATAAATAAACTTGCCTTGCCTTACTTATACCAATGTCCATTGATTCATTTATTTACTCATTCATCCCTCCACAAATGAAAACAACACTGATGAACCATAAAAACGAGATTTATTACAAATATAAAAGGTATGACATAGAAAACAGTAGAAGGACATGTAATGTAGTATAATTGATTGGTGTCAGGCTGGGCGGAGCGGCTGATTGGTGCTGTGATTGCCTCAGCTGGTTAAAAGAGTCCTGCTGATTATACTCTGTTCTAGTACCAAAAACAAACGTATCTATGAGTGATGTGACACTTCTACTAGTGTCAGTTGGGCAAGGCTAGTGTCTAGACTCAAAACTGTGTCCCATGATGCACAATGTCCCAGTCTGTTAAGCAGTGATACAATGCGTGATGATCCAGTTAAATGTCGAACAGTTAAACCTAAAGCCAAGGACTTGGGTGTCTGCTTGCGGCCCTTGGAAGCAAGGTACACAATGTCTTGACAAACAGACAACACTTTCAAATGTACGTCATCATCAATGTTGACATAATGATCCAGTGTTGGCTCCTCAGTGGAACCTATAATCCAGCTGAGCAGATTGTATAGTCCAATGGGGACAACAGTTTGAGATTCAGTGACATTTACATTTTCAGAAGTGGGAGGCCATGGGCATGACATGCCAGGAGTGTCACTAAGCAGTCTTTTCAAAAACAACGCTGCTGTATACAGTGTCCTTGTGTCCTCATGTGTTGTTTGGCACTTTGTTCTCCCTGTTTCATTGTCGCTGTCTGTCTGGCTCAATTCACTGGACTGTGTTGTTTCCGTACCGGATGGATCTGGTAGCATGTCCACGAGTGCATCCTTTGACAGAGTCTCAGCAAAAACCAGTTCGCAGACGTTGCGCTTGGTGGGCATGTGAAACGCTAGCTGAGGGAAATCTTGAGCCAGCCTCTTCTTCAACAGATCCTGTCTGTAACACAACAAAACAGTGACAATTACGAGTCACAGGAGTACCATCAAAAGCAGAGTGGTGGAGGTGATACAAGACATTACAGACTAGAACCTATCTGCCATACAGCACATTTAACACCAAAGAAGCCAAATAAAGGCCCACATCATCACAAACAACACTACACACTACACATCATGGGGGTTTCTCCAAACAGGCCTGTCATACACATTTTGTTTAAAGCTGGCCTTGCACATGATAAATAATAAGACTTGTATTACATTGCAGTTACCTGTAGTTTGAAGCATCAACACCTTCGTTTGCTTTCACCATGTCAATGAAGGCCTGCCTCAGCTGGCCCATTCTAAGCACCTCATTGTTGACAAGCAGCCTCTGGCGGATGATCCTCTCACAGAACAGCTTGTAACTGGCATCAAACATTGCCTCATCCCTACAACACATGAATAAATAAATGGATAAATGAATAAGTGTTGTGATTGTGTGCACATATAACAGAAGGAAATTGGATGTTTACTTATAATGTTAAGTATGTGTATGTGTATATATATATATAGCCATCGCCGACACACACCTGGACTTCAGTCTGGTGGTAGTGCAAATAGGTAAAGCAATCCAAGGAGAAATAACTTACTGTTCTGTCTCTGGTTTGTCAGGTCTCAGCAAAAACATGGTGTACTGACTGTAACAGCTTTTGTGGTACCGCACCTCCAGAGCCACACAGTCTTTATCTTTTATATGTAAAAGAACACTTTGGTCATCTTTCTTCTCAGCAGCTTTCTGCAATTTGCCTAAACGGAAAAAAAGGACAACTCAATGAGTTTGTTGACGTATCTCTCACACATAATTGTACCTTTCAGTTATTCAACCACAGAGAATGTGTGTGTGTGTGTGTGTGTGTGTGGTGTGTGTGTAGTGTGTGTGTGGTGTGTGGGTGGGGGAGGGGGTTTGCTTACCTGCTTTTAATGTTTCAGCCTTACACAGTTGATCCCTTTGTCGCTTGCCTGCTTTGATGATCATTTTCTCCTTCATCTTGCATATAATGCACAGGGCAGGAAGGACGGGGCCAGAGCCTGCGATTGGCAGGCCTGACCTTGATCGTAGCTTCTCTGTTTGGCTTCGGTACGTGCTGCGAGACGTCGATGGGATGGGCTCGACCTCAAGGTCCTCCCTAACGTCTTGATCTCCCTCACGTGCGAGCCGTCTTTCCACCTTCGTCATGGCCTTTGTGTCGGTAAACCTTATGTAGCATGTGTGGTGGAAGCCAGCGTCCTCAGGAATATCTTCGAACTCGAAATCAAGACAGTGCTTGTGGTTTTCAGCCACCACGTTCCGAGAGTCTCCCTTCAAGCCGAGCGACCGTTGTAAGCTTGTCCTGTACGTATTCCATCTTGTATTGGTAAAACAATCAACCTTTTCGTGCTTCACAGACGTAATATGCATGTAACAATGTTTGTGTGTTGACAATTTTGACTTTTTGAGACTTTCTGGTGCGTTTTCCTCGTCTCCGCTACTCGATGAAACCATGGCGGCCGCCATCTTTCACTTCTGTTGACAATATGCAGCTACCCAATTGGTGTAGCACGATCACGTGATGAACCGTGGCACGACTTTGGACCAAGATATTATTACGCTTCGAAGGGAATAGTTCAGCCAATAATTACGTGCCTAGAAGAATTGGCAGGAATTTTAGCGACGACATTTTTTTTGGTGGATAAGCATGAATCGTTCTTTTTTATGAACTAAAGATTGTGTAGTTTCACTTCTGTGGAGCGGGATTTCTTTTCTAAAGGACTTTTCGAGGTTCACCTTGCGGCCTACTATATTGTGTTGAATTGTTGAAGGAGCCTTGGCTCTAAGGCAGGGGCGTCAAACTCAAATACACAGTGGGCCAAGATAAAAAAACTAGTAGAACTTATTGAAATGAACTTATTGCACATATTAAACCTGGAACTAACAAAGCTTAAACTATTGCCTATAAAAACAACATTAAATAATCAGTTGCATTCATTTCTTATGGCTCTATCTGCAGCTTTTCCAGAGTCATTTCTTATGATTCCATTTTCCCACAGGCCAACAACAGCTTCAAAAAACTATTTCCCTCAAAGAGAAAACCAAACATGCCCTGTTGTCTCAAGAAACAAAGTGCACAAGGAAACATCCATTAAACTCAGTGTGCTGCTCTGTGATGCTAGTTCAAGCAGATACTTGGCATCTCATCTCGGGTGCAGGTTCATCAATGTTTGGGCTCAGGCTCTGAGCTGAGGAGACCCTCAGGAGGGAGTGAAGGTGTGCGTGCAATATACCGGCGGGCCAGATCTAATAGTAATTAGAAATGATCCTGCGGGCCGAAATTAAATCCACCAAGGGCCTGATTTGGCCCCCGGGCCTTGAGTTTGACACATGTGCTCTAAGGTTTCCCTTGCCAAAGCTGTGCTGTATCGAGTGTGAATTTCACAATAAGCGTTTGCATCTTGAAAAGTACGAGTGGCTCACAGATCAGATCTGATTATTGATCACTCAGAAACAGTTTGACTTCCTGTTGCTGACGGCTGTTTGTTCCGCAGCTCCCCGACCTGAAGGACGCTGAGGCGGTGCAGAAGTTCTTCCTGGAGGAGATCCAGCTGGGGGAGGAGCTGCTGGCTCAGGGTAACACACACGCACGCACGCACGCACGCACACACGCACGCGCGCGCGCGCGCACACACACACACACACACACACCAGAGATCCCGTTAGAATATTTGTTTGCCGGTCAACATGTCCGTTAAAGTTTAAATCTTCCGGACAAAATTAGAAAAGAGCCGGTCAAAGGTCTTCTTTGTTATTTATTGAGCTTTAAAACAAATTGATATGATTCGATATTAAACAAACTAATTATAGCAGATTAACTACATTATTCAAAAGTGAACAGTAATTTACAATAACACGGGAATAATAAACGGAGCGCTCTCCCTCTCCTGACAGCCCGTCAGTATCATGCAGCTCGCGGATCAGTAATGAGTGACCCGACAGTAAAACTAAACATATCTATAACTAGTTTAGGTAGTTTGAGAGGTCATTAAAATAGCTACGTGTGATATTCTAACCTGAAGTGTGTGTTTTGTTCCGCTCACCGCTGATCATGCAGAGCTGCGTGTCGACTCGTCAGCAGCAGCTGATCTCTCTCTCCCGTCAGATTAGACTTCACTCGCGTTTATGTCCATATCGATCAGATCCAGCTAGTTCTAGCTAATGATATGACTACCTGCTTATTAAAAGACACCTACACAATAAGCGTTGCTATGCAACCGGGTGAGGCCGCAAAGTATAGCGCAGCATTATGCATTTGTTTACATGCCCACCGGAACCCCGAGGCATTACCAACAGATCAACGCACAATCAACCCACACAGGACATCTCTTTCTCCACATCAAGTGTTAGACATTAGAATTGACTATTCATGTCTGTCACATAAGTTGCGCAACTGATGCGGTATTGTGCTAAGGGAACATTATTTTGACCGGACATTTTGACCGGAGAGATTTAGATTTGCCGGTCTTCAGCATATTTTACCGGGCATAGTCCGGTAATTACCGGCTAACGGGAACTCTGACACACACACACAATGTTTCAATCACTTCAGGGGACATTACATTGACTTATATGCATTTCCTGGAGACCTATCCTAACCTTAACCATAACCAACACATGCCTAACCCTAACCCTTACCCTAACCAAGTCTTCACCCTAAATGATTATCCCCATAAGGGAGGCGAGTCCCCACACCTGACTGTGTAAACAGATTTAGGTCCCCACAAGGATAGTAATGCTAGGTCACACCTCCACACACACACACACACACACACACATACCCCTAAACACACACACACACACACACACACACACACACACACACACGCGCACCTACACACAGCTATTTGCTGGCACTCCAGCACATCGTACATGAAAGGCTAAGGGGCGGGACATCTCTAAGCGTTTGACCAATCACAGCAGAGCCGGCCAGCTAACCAACCAGAGCAGACTGGGCTCTGGTTTCAGACAGAGGGTGAAAAGAGGTTCTGCAGCACAGGCAGTATGAGAAAAATAAAGAGCTTTTTGAACATTGAAGCATGGAGACATGTCCCAGTAGAGACACTACATACTGATATGAACCTGAAAATGAGCATGATAGGGCCCCTTTAATAACAATGTTGAGATACTTGTACTTGAGGTAGTTGTACTTAAGTAATACTTTAGTATGTCTAGTTTTGTTTGACAAAGTGTTACTCTTTAAATAACAAAAACACATTAACTTACATCATATGATGCAGTACTGTACTACCAAGTAATGGCTCCATAATGACAAACTACAACTTTGGAAAACATAATGCTGATAATACTTCTTTACTTTTACTTAATTAACATTTAGAATGCATGACTACTTTTAGGCTGGCTTATTAAGTGAAGTGTGTGAGTACTTCCCTCACCTCTGTCTCCTCTCCACAGGAGACTATGAGAAAGGCGTGGACCACCTGACCAACGCCATCGCAGTGTGTGGGCAGCCCCAGCAGCTGCTGCAGGTGTTGCAGCAGACTCTGCCTCCACCCGTCTTCCAGATGCTGCTCACCAAACTGCCCAGCATCAGCCAGGTAGCACAACTCTTACAAATCAAAGTCAAGCTGCTGCTGTTGCACCTGGGGCCTATACTACGAAGTTGGTTCAACCTAACCTGGATATGTTTGAGTTAGCCGGTTGGCCTAATCCAAAACATACGCGCTCTCGCTAAACTGTACTACGACGCTGGTTATCAAGTGGATCGCTCAAGCCAGCCGTGTCCTATCTAGTTAGGTGTTCACATGAAAGGGGTGGTATCTGGAGCATTCGACCAATCACAAACATGGAGAAGCGCACTGACAGCGCAGCGTCATACTTCCTGAATGAAAAGTGAACTTTAATACTAGTCAAAAATGAAGAAGTTAAACTTTAAACATCCATGACTTAAACACTTTATCCAGGATCAAAGCCACAGAGCTGCACCTGCAAGGTGAATACAGCTGGGAACAGAACAAGTGTTTGAATGCGTACATTAACAGGTTTATGATATCACTGCCCCGTCTAAAACACCATCTGACTTTAATTACATTTGTCTCGAGTGTTTCGTCAACTTAATGTGTTGCTTAAAATAATACTTCTGCATCCAGTCTGTGACACTGTGAGTGTTGCACGGCCAGATACGGCTCAGCTGACTCAGATAAGAAAATATATGATACATTATGAAGTGATATGCTGCGGACTGTACTTAATGTTACTCTGATCCGGTTACTTATGTTGTGGCAGATATTTAAGTAAGCTTTCTTAACGCTAATGTTATAATAGTCAGATTGCTCTGAAGATGGAGGTGATATTCTATTAATGTTCACGTTCACACAGTCGGTGATTTTTGCCGGCCGTCTTTCCTGCGACGGCAGCTTTTCTGTATTTCCTTTCTCCTGTAATATGACTTGATCGCTTTAAACTCCGCACACTGAGCTCTGATTGGTCAGCAGGCGGTGCTTTCACTGAGTTGAGCTCTTAGCCTGCAACCTAACCTGGTCCCGACCAGGTTAGCCGCTAAGCATAAGTTACCATGGAGATCTAGCCTGCTAAAAAGAGAACCAGCTTCGTAGGACCGGAAAGCCGGAGTTTTCCCTGAATTTAGCCGGCTAAGCGAAAATCCTGCTTCGTAGTATACCCCCCAGGTATCACATGTTGCTGCTGGGATAAGGTGCTTTGTCCAGGCAAGAATTTTAGCTGTGCAGTTTATTTTCTTAGGTTTCATCAATTAAAAGAAAGAGGAATCATGTTCTTACATATTCTCTTGCCTTGGTAAATAAAACCATTCTATTTCTCCACCTGTCTACCATTAAACACCAAATCCCCCGTTTCCACCTTCAATCGAAAACATAAACAAATACTCTAAATTAATTAATTAAAATGACACTAAATACAAATTAAATGTGATATTATGTTTAACTATTAAATACTACAAAATTATTTAAATAACACAAGGAAAAATTAAAAAAGCCAATATGGAGAACAGGAGAGAGAAACTCCCTATGGAGGAAACTTTGGGATTTAAGCCTCACAAGACCATTTACATGCACTAAAACCTATAGAACACACTACAGGAAAGGGAAAACCCCTAAAAGCATACTTCCACCACTAATTCAACTTCAGAAATCTGTATAAAATATAAAACAAAAACACTTCCCTGACTCTCCATCTTCATCCTGATTGGTTACTTCCTCTCTGTTAACGCTTGTTGTTTCCTGTCCTTCAGCGTATCGTGAGTGCACAGAGTCTGAGCGAGGACGATATAGAATGAGAGGATCGAAAGGAAACAACCCTTCCTCCTCTTCTTCCTCTTCCTCTTCCTCATGCGGAGCCGCCAACGCCTCGGCCTCCATCACTCCGGCCGACGTCCATCACTTCCCATCGACGTGTCCTCTAGGGAATTAGTTTTTTATTCCAGCCGTAACCATGACAGTAGCGTCTGTTTGTTTTTTTACTTAAATTACCCGTTTTGGGGTATGAAGAGTTTCCTTATCATAACTGCCAGAGAATTCAAAGCGCCCGCTCCACCATGGTTGATGATAAACTGGACTGGGTGGTGGTGTCGCTCACATCATGTTTCAGGTTTACACTGATTACTGCTATGAGAATATCAGTGGTAGAAAGTTACAGAAACCTTCTCTCTGCTCCACAAAGTATTTATTGTTTTTGTTATCAGTCGTCTTTCTGTTCAGTCTCCACTTGGAAACACTTAAAAAAAATAAAGTAACAAAATGTTTTGTTCATTTTAAAGAGAGGACGACCCTCTTTAGGAAAATACAATAAAAAATGGTAACAAACAATGAAGTTGTTTTGTGAGTTTGTTTTGTTTATGTCAATGCGGGAAAGGGAAGCAACACAAAGCCAGCTGGACCAGATACAAACCACTGTGTTTTTAATTCATACAAAAAAGGTTCCCTTGAATGAAAAATACATCAACACATGAAATTAGACGAGTGATGAGTTGACTGACAGGCAAGATGATCAGAGGTGCAGAGTTTTTGCTGTGAAAACAACCAGGACTGAAGTATGGGTAGAGTTTCTCAGTGAAGGAGCAGCCAGTAAAGGAGTAGATAAGAGCTGCAGCATCTACGTCATAAAAGGAGACCAGACTAGTGATGGCAGTGTGAGACTGAAGCTTCGATACGTGCTTCAAACCCCTGGACTACAATTCCATAGAAGCAGTGCTTCGAAGCTTGCTTCAAACGGGGTTCGTACGGGTGCTTGAAATCCTTGAAAATGCTTGAAATTTGACGTGGTGTTTTCAAGGTTGGGAAAGTGCTTGAATTTTGGGAATGGTGCTTGAAATTGAGATAAACTGCTTGAAAATGTAAATGCTTTACTTTTACAATAAATTGCTCTCTGACTGAATAGTTCGCTTTTTAGATTAAAAGAAAATAATTGCTTTGCTTTTACATAAAACATCTCCGCTGCGGCCTTCCCGCGCTATGCGCGCGACCTGCAAGTGTTTGTGTTACGTGTGACCTGGGCATTCTGATGAGTGATAGATGCAGGGGCGGATCTAGACAAATATTCATGGGGTGGCAAGAGGGTGGCAGGAGATTTTGAGGGGTGGCATCCCCTGACAGAAGTATATGCTGATTGAAATCGCAATCATATCAATCAATTAGGGGTGTAACGGTACACGTACCCGTACTGAAATTATTCGGTACGGTCCCTTCGGTTCGGTACACGTGTGTACCGAACGAATATAGCGTTAAACGTAAAAAATTGAGAACAACTTTCTGGAAGTAATCTCAGGTATATATCATAGAGCGACCAAGTCATTTCATTGGACGAGAGGCATACTATGAGAGCTGGTCACAGGGATGCGTTCAAATGTAGTCAGTAATTTGAGGAAATGGCGAACGTAGATAAAGTTGAGCTGAAAATCCTCCAGCATCAATGAAGTCTCCGGTTTGGGAACATTTTGATTTCGCAGTTACGTACAAGGATGACGGACAAAGACAGGTGGACCGAACCAAAGCTGTTTGTCGGCATTGTTCAACTAAAATTGGTTACGCGGCTGGCAATATATCAAACTTGCACACTCATTTGAAAAGGCATCACCCGAACGTGAATATCACCGGTACCAAAAGAAAAAAGACTGAAGTGCAAACCCAACTCCCGCTAGCATGTAAGCCTCCACCACTCGCAAAAAGTTCAGACCGAGCCAAAGCTATTACAAACGCCAAATATCCTTATGTTGCCATGTTAGCAAAGCGCTACCTGGCTGTATCTGCTACCTCTGTCCCTAGAGAGGGTGTTCTCCACAGCAGGAGACATTGTTAGTGCCAGCAGATCTGCCCTTTCGGCAAGCAATGTGGACAAGTTCATCTTTCTTTAAAACAACATGAAAATACAATGACAAGCGAGTCCTCATGTCAAGCTGGCTGCTTAGGTACTAGTACAGTTCAAATACAGATTATTTCAGTTCATCGAAATGCTGCACCATAATGTTTATTTTACTATATTTTGTATTTATTTGAATACATTAGTCAGTTTAATAATAATTTAAAAAAAATATTTAATGTTTTGTGATAATTTTTTCTGCTGTACCGAAAACGTACCGAACCGAACCGTGACCTAAAAACGAGGTACGTACCGAACCGAAATGTTTGTGAACCGTTACACCCCTACAATCAATGTTAACTTGGAAAGCCACAATATTAATATTTTAACTCAATCACATAGGTGATATTATTGTGGCACATCAGTAAAGCCTTACAAGGTGGCAGACGTAATTTAATGAATTTTAACTGAACAATAACTGAATGAGTTTGTCTCACTCTTAGACCAGCAGGGGTACCAAATATATACAGACTGCTGCAATAAGTACATTAATTAACTGTCTCATCGATGTTTGTCTGAATGAATATGATACTATTAACAATCATATTATTCCTATCAGCTGTCAATCAGCTGTTAATAAATAATAATAATAGATTTAATTTGTTAGCGTTTTTACAGGTGCTCAAAGACGCTTTACAGATATAGTGAAGAACTGTTATGATTCACATATTCATTTATTATTGAATAAACTATATTTTTTGGAGGAGTTAATGATGAATGTTCATCAAGATGCTTACTCACCGTCCTTCAAATTTGAAAAACAAGTAATTATATCATTATTGATAAACAGTTACAACCTTGACTTTACATCAGAAAGAACAAACATTAAAGAAGTGACTAACTGCATCAGTTAGGGTTAAAAAACGTGTATTCAGCTAAAACATCGCTGCAGTTATTATCCAGTGGAAGGTCCTTACCTACTGGCCTAGTTAAATCAAAGTGGTTACTTTCTGTTGGCTGGGCAGTGTAGTTTTACACACCGTCTTATTTTACTTTCTCAGGACTTAAAACTGTTTTTTGGGGGCAGACCCCCTCAAAGAAAAATATATATACACGCATACAAGGTCATCATCTTAACAGTTTGTTATTCTCATCGAGTCATCCGTGAGCAGAGCATCAAGTTGGCATGTCTATTACAGCTGAATGCGGCGATTACTATTTTGTTCAGCAAAACGCCTCACAAACGTATTAAGATCAACAGCTGTAGTGCGTTTTGATTCAATGCTGAGTACAGCCAAACTTGACATTCTCTTCTCTGTCATTGTAGACCGCAACTACCTCATTCCTTCAGTGCTTGGGTCCGAAAGGCTTCTCGTTTTGCGCCGTCCCCCCGTTCAAGTGAATTCGCCACCAATCATATTTCCACTCTTGCGCCAGGACCGGGGGAGGGGTTACATGGCGTGCATCTTGTGCTGCATTCACTTGCACTCGGACATTAGAGACTTTCGCTCATAAATGTCCGATGAGCCACAACTTTTCTTTCAAAACAAAGATGCCAACTGGGGTGGCAGCTGGGGTGGCAAGGCTATTGTTTAGGGTGGCAGTTGCCACCCCATGCCACCCCGGTAGATCCGCCCCTGGATAGATGACTGTGTGTCAGGAGGTTGCAGTTTCAACGAGCGTTGGCTAGCAGAAGACAAATACAAGCCATGGCTAAGACGAGGGTCAAGCCCACGAGTAGCCTCCTGCAAAGTTTGCAAAAATAACGATGCGAGAGTCTGCGCTGACGAATCACATGAAAGGTACGCCGTAGTAGAGCATTTTAGATTAGGCTAACGTTGCATGTTATGTTTGTTTAAGCTAACGTTAGCGAGCTGATTAGCGAACTCGATTGACGGATAATATTAATTGCAGAGGACAATCATTTCAGATGAGCGTACCTATGTTATGTGCGTTACAGTCGCCATCCTGTGGTGTTCAGAGGATGAAGCACTCACGGCATTTCGTGTTATAGTCACGAAATATAATCTATTGATTCGACACAGAGCGATTTTGAAAGCAATGTATTTCTACTGGTAGTATGTTTCGTGCCTAAACCAAATGTGACTTGCTCTCTCGAAATCAGTTACATTGACCCGAAGACACATTTTCGTTTGTATTACTGGTCTGGGGGAAGCTCGCGAGTGTGTTTGTGTATTTTTGCGTTTGTTTCCCGGGGAAACACTTACAAGAAACACCAGCTGTTGTTATGCCTGCTGTGACGTTAAGTTACTCCGTTCTCCGCTTGTAATTATGCCGAAGCTTCAAAGTTGTATTTATCATCTGAATTTGCCGAAACAAGTTTAATATTCTGAAAGCCAAGACTTTGTTTATATGAAAGCAGATGAAAACAAACTGTCTTTATATAAAATTGAAGTATTATACAAGTAAAACTACATTTTGCTTTAATCCCATGTAATTGTAGAATGAACACAGTCTTCCTTTTAAGATGTAGAAGTCAGGTGTCTTGAGTAGTCAAAATTACCTACAAATCATTGTACACATTTGTAAATATTATTTTCCACTTGTTACCATTGTGAGTCTATTTCTATGCAGCTCTGCGTGATTTTGTGGCTACAATTCAGACTAATACGCTACCAGAGGTGGAATAAGTACTCAGATATTGTACTTGAGTAAAAGTATAAGTACTCAGATCTTGTAGTGAAATTATAAGTACTCAGATCGTGTACTTAGTAAAAGTAGAAGTACCAGAGTGTAGGAATACTCTGTCACAGTAAAAGTCCTGCATTCAAAATATTCCTCAAGTGAAAGTAGAAAAGTATTCTCATCCAAATCTAGTTAAAGTAGCGACAGTAAAAGTAGTCGTTGTGCAGATTGGTCCATTTCAGAATAATATATATGATATGTTTTATAATGATTGATCATGAAAGTGTTCTCAAAGCTGGTAAAGGTGCAGCTAGTTTGAATGACTTTGTATACTGCAGGGTAGCTTGTGGATTTACTCCAGGTGGAACTAAAGATTTAACACTTAGATTTCACATCATTCATCCTGATCTGTAAAGTAACTAAAGGTATTAAATACATGTAGTGGAGTAGAAGTACACCATGTACCTCTGAACTGTAGAGGAGTAGAAGTACACCATGTACCTCTGAACTGTAGAGGAGTAGAAGTACACCATGTGCCTCTGAACTGTAGTGGAGTAGAAGTACACCATGTACCTCTGAACTGTAGTGGAGTAGAAGTACACCATGTACCTCTGAACTGTAGTGGAGTAGAAGTACACCATGTACCTCTGAACTGTAGAGGAGTAGAAGTACACCATGTACCTCTGAACTGTAGAGGAGTAGAAGTACACCATGTGCCTCTGAACTGTAGAGGAGTAGAAGTACACCATGTACCTCTGAACTGTAGTGGAGTAGAAGTACACCATGTGCCTCTGAACTGTAGTGGAGTAGAAGTACACCATGTACCTCTGAACTGTAGTGGAGTAGAAGTACACCATGTACCTCT